TGAGGAGGACAAAAATGGTTTCGTAACGAGAGACTATTAAAGGAGGATGGCGGTGGGTCAAACTAGGCATAATCGCGAATGAGTCTTAGAAATAGAGACTGGTCAAGTTTTGAAAAAGCCTTCAAGGCAATAGAAATGCCATTGAGGACACTTCAATTTTCGGTCATGAAATTGAATTGTTGAACATAGAAGGAAGGGAAGAAGCCCTCGTAAAGAAGATGAGATGAAAGCTATTGGGTTATGAAGTTTGGTAAAGAAGAAGGGGGAAAGCTATGACGCAAGGATACTTGTTGCGATTTCAAAGATGTTTTAGGTTAAAATAAATTAAATAATGAACGAATAAGAGAGTAGAGAAAGAGTACAAACGAATAAATGAAGAAGAAATCCCCATCGGACGACCGTAGAGAAGCTCGGCTGTAAACGAAAATTCATTTCAACAACCATAATTGGCCAGCTGTGTCGTCGTTTTCTCTTCTCCTTTTATGAACATGAAATCGAATCATTTCATATTATCATTCATTCCTAGGCATTTCTACGTCTACATCCTTACTCGGTTTGGTGATCAAAAATTCTTTTTTCTTTGATATGCTGGAGGTTAGGCTGTGATAGATACGGTCTGAGATACATGTGAGGAGATGAAAGAGGAATTTGCTTTTTTTACTTGTTTTCCTTGAGAACATAGAAACAGCTGGTAGTAATGGCGGAAAGGAAACTCAAAGAAATGTAAAACGAATCGACTGATTCGCTTTGATCAAGGCTTCTGTGCGACGAGAGATCAGAAAAGAATGAGAGTACCAAAGAGAGTGACGAGATGAGCTCTGAACTCAGCCAGTATCTGATCTCTTCTTTGCGCTGAGCGGTGATGCCATAACAGATGGGTCGAAGAAACTTTTCTTGTTCAAAAGAATTGAAATGTTTTATGTTTGTCATAACAAACATATGAAATAGTTTAAATGCAAAAGCTGATGGATAAAAGCTCTATAAAAGCTCAAAAGAAAAGAAGCAGCTTGTCATCTATTATAGACATAGATTGTCAGATTTTGAAAGATGAATGACCAAATGCCATATAAAGATATGTACAGACTTTAATTCTCTGGAAACATGTGTATACATGAGATTGGGAGTTGATGAATCATCTGTCCATTTGCTTTCTTTTAAGATATATAAGTATGATAAACGACTAATGATTGAGAAGACAAAAAATTTTTCTTTCCATCTCATCCTATCTCTCTCTCTCTCTCTCTCTTGCCTTCCCTTCTCCTCTCTTCCTCATATCCAGCTATTTCGCATTTCGCTTCAAAAATCTAATCTTCATATAGTTTTTGGCTGTTGTTCTCCGGAATGTCTTCTCTGCTCGTTTTGAGAGTTTAGAGATTTCTGGTAAACAGGTTGAGTTTACTTAAACATCAAAAAACTTTCTTGATGAAAAACAAAATTTCAAACAGTCTTAGAGGTGTGCTACAGGTGATGTACATATGATGAAGATTGGATGGGTACGGAATGTGCATCATTAACAGCACCTTTCATACGAGCACAGTATATCATGAATATAATATATGGATGTGGCACATCCATAAAATAGAATATTTGAAAAGCTAGCCCTTCTATATGATGAGATAGTATGAAGAAGTGAAAATATCAAGCCAATTAAGAATTTTAGTAGCTGTAGTCTGTTCCGGTTGGCCATTCCATGAGACATTTCAGCTTCAAAACATCAACGGTCTCGAAAAATAGTTTTCATTCTCTCCTGCCATTTGAAGACTGGAGATGACGACGACAGAGATGGAAGAGACATAGGGAAAGAACAAAAAAACGTTTAAAAGAATTAGATTGGAACAGAAGCTGTTTGATTTTTTTCTTTTGTTGTCAAACTCTCTGTTACTGTCGTGATTCTCGACCCATTTCGTCTGTTCTCAATTAATTCCGAATGCCGATGAACAGATGATTGTGTTGTATAGTTAAGCACAACGAAGAATATATTTTATATTTCAACGAATTCAATTAAAACACATATTATATCCCATTTATGATGTGTAGCGTAGTGCAGCATCCTCTCAACTGGACGCCGCTTCAATGTTTTGTTCTATCTGAAAAAGGAATTGTCATTTGCTGTCGACTCAGAAGCATGAATGCGGTTATATATAAGAACATGAACCTTCAGCTTACTTACAAGAACAAGCCGAGCAATCAGCAATCGAATTTCGGTCTATCCTTGAACCGCATGTTCTCGAAGAGTTTTATGTATTCGTTCCAACTATCGGCCCCAACGTAACGAACTGCGTTGCGCGAACACATTTTTTGGCCTAGTATAGCAATGTTTATACTTGGCCGAGCTCGGCTCGGCACGACAGGTTACAGAGACAAGCTCGAGCTCGGCTCGAGCTTTTGTTTGTCCCTTGAGCTCGCCTCGAGGAAATTTAACTCGATCTTGATTTTGATTCCCTTTCAATCTCAAAACTAAAAGTGTTGTTCGCATGAACAGTGGACAGACTATATTAAAGCCGTCTTCAGATGAGTACGTTTCACTTATTGATTAGATAACTAACAGGTTTATTTCAGTAAGCAGCTAAAGACATTCGCCTTTGATCACTCATTTTATTCACAAGAATCAGATGCACCTAATTATGCAAGTGATTTATACTTCGGTAATTGTTTTGACAAAATTAATTAACAAATTTGTAGGTCAAGAAGAAGTTTTCCAACATTTGGGAACTGGAGTCGGGAAAATCCAACCCTTCCAACCCGGGGAGCCACTGGAATGAAATTATATGAAGATTTAATTTTTAGGGGTTATAAAAAACAAGAGCCAAAATTTATTTTTTAACTCACTTTGACGATTGGCCAAACTTCTAAACCGCCCTGCTTGATTAATGCATTTAATCCTCGCTTAGATGCGTTCCTCACCTGATTTTCACACATTTAAGGTTGTGCAGCAGAGCACATTGCCCACCCCACGTGGGAGAATGCCGGATGTGGTCTCATAGGGAGGGCAATCTTCCCCGAAATCCGGAGGAGGGAGGTTTCCCAAATTGAGCTACTGAAATAGAAAAAATTAATTAAACAAAGATAAATTTAAAAACAAGCAGCTTTAGATTGACTTACCTTTACAGAGTCCCAAACTTTCCTACCCTCCTCCCCACGTTCAAGGGAGGGTTATTGGAAGTTGACGAACTGTGAGGAAGACAGTTGTTGCCAAACTCCGGGGGCGGCAGATTCTTATAATTGATGAGCTGTAAAGAAAAAAAAATTAAAAAATGTTACATTGCTATACTAGGCCAAAAAATGTGTTCGCGAGCTCGAGCCGAGCTCGAGCTCAGCTCGAAATTAGAAAACTTATCGAGTCGAGCTTGAGTAAAGCTCGACATGAGATAAATGCAGCGAGTCGAGCTCGAGCCCAGCTCGAAATCAGAAAAACAGATCGAGTCGAGCTCGAGTCGAGGTAGAAAAAACAAACGTAACGTAAATAAAGATATAATAACGGTACGAACCGCCCAAAAATATAACGCATTTTCTGTTTAACGATTTATTGATTTTCTACGTCCTGTGTAGTTTCGAAAACAAATTCAACATCCGCAAATTCTTCATTAAGGGTACTTTGCTCGTTGTTATTAGACCAAGGTTCCAACCCTTCAATGAATCGCCCTGACCAATGCTTCGTTTTATCTTACGTTCTAAATAAAACATACAACAGGAGATCCCGAATTTTGGTGAGAACTCTCCGAAGTTCAACAACTTCCTACTCACTTTGATATGATCTCTGTTTCTTGTATTCTTCTCTATTACTTGCTCTTCCTGTTTCTAAGCCATGTTGCAAATCATATTTTTTCATTTCGTTCGTTCGTTCTCCTCCTTTTTCCTCATTTCTTCCTAGTGCAGCGCATTTAGAATAAGAGCTAATCATAGATGCTTTTTATGGTATTCGACCTCAGTTCTCTTGTGGCTATATCGTTAGTACAGTTACAAAAAACAAGAAGAATTCGATATCAATCAGCAATTGAATTTCGGTTTACGCTCGGACGACATCTTAACGAAGCGTTTCATGAATTGGTCAGCATCATCGTCCAAAAAGTGAGTGACAGAGTTGCAAATCAGAGCCTTCTCCTCACAATTTTCACCTAGCGAAGTGTTTACCGTGAGAGTGAACGTATTCAGAGGATGTTGACGCTGAAAAAGTTTTCTTTATTTCATTATGTTTCTCTCTCTCTTTCTGAAGCTCTGCACGCATGCGCCGAAGCATTGCACATGTAATTCTCTCTCTCCATTCTCTCTTCTTCCCGTACCTTTAACCGATTGAAAAACTCGGAATCTGATTCCTGCTTGTTGTGGAATTTAAAAACTGTTCCATGGCCCCCCTGAAATGGTTTAGATAATATAGGCATGGTGAACTCTCTAACCTGTTTCAATGTTTCCTTCAGACTTGTGGAGGGATCGCAATGCTTTCCTATTCCTCGAAACGCACATTTCAGATTAACACAGCGGAATGGGTCGATGAATACTTGGAAGTCAAGTATGGCAGAAGAAGAATGAAGAAAAACAGCAAGAAGCAACAGTATGAACCGCGACATTACTCTCACTGAGGTAATTCAGTCACTGCCAATGTGGAGGACGCTTGCCCCGTTCCCTCCTATCAATAGAACTACATGGTACCTTCTGGCAGGTCAGGTCATACGTCATGAGTGTTGATGAACTGATGATCATATTCACTATTAATTCTATCCCATCTACTGTAACTAAATAAGTTGAGTGAAAGACACAGAGGTACCAGTATTGCTTCTTTATAAACAGTTTGAACTTCGGTTCCTTCTGGTTGCTACCTTTTCAATAAAAAATGTGAGAAAACGTGGTAAGCTTCGCCCCATGTTAGTGGTGAATAGGATCATCAGTTCATCAACACTCATGACGTATGACCTGACCTGCCAGAAGATACCATATAAGTCAATTGTTAGGAGGGAACGGGGCAAGCGTCCCCCACATTGGACTGAATTACCTCAGTGAGAGTAATGTCGCGGTTTATACTGTTGCTTCTTGCTGTTTTTCTTCATTCTTCTAACTCCAAGGCTATACTCGAAGTATTGATGGATCCTGAGGGTTGTACTTATCTGAAATGTGAGTTTCGAGGAACAGGAGAGCATTGTAATCCAGCCAGCAGTCTGAAGGAAGCATTGAAAACGGTGAGAGAAAGAGAGTTTACCATGCCTATCTCATCGAAACCATTCCAGGGCAACGGAACAAGTTTCAAACTTCTCAAGGGCGAGACAGATTACAAACTTCTTGCACGGTTAGAGGTACGTGAAGAAAGAGGAAAGAAGAGAGAGGGAGGGATCAAAAAGAAAACGCAGAGCAACAGAAAGAGAGAAAGACAAATGGATGAAAAAAAAATTTTTTTCAGCGTCGATATGATTCGAACACATTCACGATTGTGAGGGACATCAATCTGGGGGAGAAGTGTGAGAAGAAGGCTCTGTGGTGCAACGCCGTTTTCTCTATTGTGGCCGGAAGTTTAAGCGAATACTTGGAGCTAGTCGTGAACATGCGGCTCAAGGATTGCTGACTAATCTCCAAGTATTTCATTCTCCAATTCATAACATTTCAAACGGTTCGAACCTCTTGTTAATTAATGGGAGAATAAAAACTTTTTCTTTATTGCTATCATTGTTTATTGCTCTAATCGAACAAATCAGATGGAGAAACGAACATCGTAACTGAACATCCCCAAGACGACACCTCATGTTTGTGGTTATCAAGACACTTCACAGCTCTTCATGCTTCTACCGCCAACGTTCTCCTCGAAGTATTCATGGACTCTGCTAATTCTACAAACCTGAACTATGAGTTCAGAAGAACAGAAAAGCATTGCGATCTGGCCACCAGCTGAAGGGAAACATTAAAAACGGAAAGAGAAAGCATATCAACGCTGCAAATTTTTTGAAAATTTTCTTATCTTCTATGTCTCGGTGTTACTCTGCACGAAAGTACCGAACCACTGCATAAGTGACCTCCTTCTCGCTTTCTTTCTCTGTATTCTTTTATCTTCTTTGAGGTAAAGTACATGTCGATTTCTCTCCTCGTTTACAAGCATTCTCGGAGTCACGTAAT